ATTGTAAACTATGATCATCGAACTTTACTATAGTTTCGAATTCAAGAACGTGACCAATATATCAACTTACGATAATTTGGTATTGTAAACTATGATCATCAAACTTTACTATAGTTTCGAATTCAAGAACGTGACTAATATATCAACTTACGATAATTTGGTATTCTGAACAGAAAATAGGTATGTCCTAGAATCACCCAAGCTGCCGTTAAAAATCGAATACCGTGTAACGCAGAAAGACCATCAGAGGTATTTCCAATGTGAAGAAATTTTTTTGTGTTTGTGTAGAGAGAAAACATTAACAGGAAACGTAGTCCAGTTCCTAAGTTAGAAAAAAAAATACAAATCAACATTTTTGTTATTATATCCATTATAAAAACTTATAAAGCATTATATCTTCAAATGAAAAGAAACATAAGAAACTTTTTTCTGCTATAGACAACCTCAGCGTAATATAAAAGTAACTACAGGTCTATTTGCTGTCAAGAGATTACTTAAGTCATACAGAAATGAACGAAATCTCACTCTTTAATAAACAAAAATATTTGAAACTGGTAAAAGAGTAAATATTGTAACCTCATTTCAAAAACTCGGAAACAAATCATGATAATTTTTCATTTATCTTTTTTTGTTGTTGTTCAGATCTTTGCTTGAATCATGTGATTTTACCTACAAAATACCGTCAGATCACTTTATTGCAGTCCGATTATTTAGGTTTAAACAGCGTAATGCAATGCTGTCTTACTATAGTTGTCTTTTACGAGGAGATCATCATATTGCATCAATACATGGTTGTAAAATTTCATATTTTTGTCAACAAAAATGCGCTCCGATGACTCAGCGGTAAGCTTGAGGACTTATAACGCGGATATTCCGGATTCGAACTCTGTGGTAGCCATAATCTACTAAATGTTGGAAACTAAATACAATTTCTGATACACCAGTTTTGCTGTATCGCACGTATTTCATGTATTAAGATAAGCTAAATGATTTAGTATTTTGTTATCATACTGCTTTCTGGTAGCAGCATGAACATGTATTTCATGTATTAAGATAAGCTAAATGGCTTTGTAGTTTGTTGTGTTTAAAATTAAACACAAAGCTACACAATGGGCTATCAGTGCTCTGCCCACCACGGGTATCGAAACCCTGTTTCTAGCGTTGTAAGTCAGCAGACATACCACTGACTTTGTAGTTTGTGTCCGTCTTACCTAACCTTCTCCCTCTTGAACTTACAGTACTTATAGATAACATTCTACAGATAATTTCGCTTTTGTGAATTTTTTTAAAACGTGATTCAGAAATACTTGTTATTTTGATTACGTCATTTGATCGTATTAGCAAAATGGCGAATTTGCGAACTTAACTTTAAAGAAAGTTGTTTATCCAAACTTAAAAAAAAAATATATTATTATTAGTAAATAACGTCATCAGTTAAATGAATAACACTTTAAATTGACTAATAAATTTCACAGGATCGAAAAATATCAATACGTTCTCAATATGCTGAGATTCGCGCACTCATCACTTTATACAGAGGGGAATAAATACCACTATTATCACATCATCATTGGTAATTGAGATACATTATAGTTTACTGTAGTTATTTTAAGATCTGAACAGCCTCCGGAGATCTTCTGATTAAGGAAAAGGTTTGAATGATTTACAGAGTTTCAAATCTTTACTAAATACTATTTTCTAGATTGTAGATGAATGTCTCAAACGAAGAAATAATGGATCGGTTCAATCAAGTATTTGTTTTCGTGTTAGGAGTCTTAGAAATGTTGAATTCTCCAATAAAAGGTGTAAAGGATAAAAAGTTTATTGCTATCCTAAGAAGAATTTATTATCACACTATACCAAGAAGTTAATTGTTATCATTGGAAAAGTTTATTATCATACTATATCAAGAAGAAGTTAGCTGCTATCCAGAATAATATTTATTATAGTAGTATGTCAAGAAGAAGTTATTATCATACTATATCAAGAAGAAGTTAGCTGCTATCCAGAATAATGTTTATTATAGTAGTATGTCAAGAAGAAGTTATTATCATACTATGTCAAGAAGAAGTTAGCTGCTATCCAGAATTATATTTATTGTAGTAGTATGTCAAGAAGAAATTAGTTGTTATCGTGGACGGAGTTAGTTATCATTTTATTCCAAGAAGAAGTTTATTGCTATCACAGGCAGAATTTATTCGCAGTTACAAAATTGGTGCGTGTTTAATTCTGTTTTAAGAATAAGTAATAATTCATTTAATTTTCAGAATCTCCTTCTTAAACATGGATGGCCATATGTTACATGTCTTTGCTGTGAGGAGAAACACGTAGGCTCCGCCACCAGGTGGCTATCCACCCGCATAGGAAACCTGAAACTTCTGAAGTATTGCAATTACTTTAGGACAAAAATAAAGGTCGTTAATGCGACTGACAAGTTTATGATAATTAATGGAGTTGAGGACGAGCAGCAGTTGAGGATTCGAGAGAATTTTGTGTTGATTGAAGTCGACTTTAAATTTGAATAGATTTACTATAAAATAAAACACTTTTGTTTTTATACATTTTTGTATCTCACCTGAAACTGAGCCTTGAATTTGAATTTTACTTCCAATAGGGATAGTAGACCGAGTAACACCATCTAGACACGTTCCCATCAAAACTAGAACTCCGATTATCCCTACTATTGCCCTAAAAAAAGATATACAAGAATACAGAAACTTCTGCGACTTATAACTAATAATTATAACAAATAAACTAAATGTAAATGTAAATCATTTTGACTTAAAGTATCTTTTACCTGTAAATGATTTATTGTTATTGTTGTTTTTGGATATTCGTCTAAAGCTACATAAGGTCTATTTGTACTAGCCATCCCTAATTTTGAACTGGTAGACTTGAGAGAAGACAATTGGTCAACAGCACTTATAAAACAACCCGTATCGTGCGATTTTACGACAACTAGACGCGAAACACGGGCCCTCAGAGTCACATTCCAGCCACTAGCTCTTCAGGTCTATCTAATGAATGTTATTAGTTCATATTAGTTTAAACATCTTGGATACACTTTGGCCATAATATTTAAATTCACGCCCCTATCTCAGTGGCACAGTGTAAGCTTAGAGGCTTATAACGCTCAAATTTTGGGTTCGATGATTGCTGTGGATATACATAGAGAGCTAGTTATGTAGTTTTGTGCCTAACAATATCGTGCCAATATTTCAACAGCTCTCAGCCAAAAAAAAGTCCAATTATCTCCCTCCAAAGGAAAATAAATAAATAAATTGTAAACTACTCTGTTGAAACGTGTACAAGTTCTCAGTAAGTTTCATCAATACAAATATAACAAATAGAAACTCGGTAAAACAAGTAAGCTCGTTTCTTCTTATTGTTGTTCTTACTGAGTCTCTCCATTGATAGCATGGATAAAATGGATTTGGTTTTTGTAATTCGTGAAATTAGCAAATACACATCTTTATTTACCACAATTATTCATAATTTTACTCGAAATTATAAGAACTTTGCAGATTGAAAAAATCATATTCAAATGATGCACTTGAACATTGACTTAAATGTGAGAGAAACAAAGTCTCATGCTTGTCGTGAAGACCTCTCCCCTTCTGTGGCACAGCGGTATGTCTGCAGACATATTACGCTAGAAACCGGGTTTCGATACCCGTGGTGGGCAGAGCACAAATAGCCCATTCTGTAGCTTTGTGCTTAACTACAAACAAATAAACTCCTGTCTTTAAGAAGATATAACCAAATATTATTATATTATTTATCTTCAAATATTTATTGTTACAATAGTTATCGAAATTAATTAATTCAAACTAGTTATATAGTAAAATGGATGCTTTGTTAATATATATATTATGTATATGTACATATATATTTCTTTCTTCATCATCCGAACTATTCCCAGTATTATCTCTCTTCATTTATTCTTCACAATTATAATGATTGAGTAAAAATAGAAAAATAAATAAATAAAGAAAAACAGTTTATTGGTAAAAATTTTAGTACCCAAAAAAAGGAACTTCGAGAAATTAATAACTATACAGCACGTGAGGAGACTGGGGCTGGTTAGCCACAGGGGAAGGTTGGCACAATGCAGTTAACTTGGTAGCCTTAGTATCAATCACTAATACATCCACATTTGCTATTATAGTTTCATCGTGACCAGAAACCTTTCTTGTGTGCAGGAATAGAAACTGATATTTTCACACACACACATTATATGATATTAAATACTTTGTTAAGAGAAATGAAGTTACATAGTATTTGAAAGTGCACTATTTCGGTTATATAATGGTACTTAATTTTGTTTGATAACTAAGATTGGGACGGCACACACGTCAGTCACCCAATGTCAGTCTTGACACATTTCGCTTGGTGCAGATTGACACACGTGTCAACCAGCCTCACAATGAGGAATTTACGTGTATATTTTTTTATGCTTTTAAAACAAAGATAATTATAACCCAAAGATATGTATATACATTTTGATTAATGTCTGAATATTGAAAAATTCACGAAAATTCTTGCATTGCTCTCTTTCCACTATTTTCTTGTGATATTGTTTCTAAACTTTGGATTTAAAACTGTGTTTGTAGGAATTATGGTGAAAAACAGTTAAAGTGTTTTTATATCATTTACTTAAATGTGGGGCCCGGCATGGCCAGGAGTGTAGGGCACTCGATTCGCAATCTGGGGGTCGCGGGTTCGAATCCCCATCACACTAAACATGCTCGCCCTTTCAGCCGTGGAGGCATTATAATGTGACGGTCAATCCCACTATTCGTTGGTAAAAGAGTAGCCCAAGAGTTGGCGGTGGGTGGTGATGACTAGCTGCCTTCCCTCTAGTCTTATACTGCTAAATTAGGGACGGCTAGCGCAGATAGCCCTCGTGTAGCTTTGCGCTAAATTCAAAACAAACAAACTTAAATATGCAATAAATATATAGATACAGATAAAATATTTTTAATTTCATTTCGTCCGTGTCAACTTACCCCAAAGTGTATGTCAATTTTCCCCATATTCGGCACACACACTCTTCTGTTATATTAATTTCTGAGAAAATCAGCCAAGGGGTAAATGAATATTTTTGCTATATAATGGAGGAACGTGTTATCTTGCGTCGGTACAGAAATTTCTTATCTTGCAGTTCACGAGTGATTTGCATTTAAAAATTAGCAGAAGTGAATCAACCAGCTTTGGTCTCCTCTGACCTGTACTTACGTGCAGATGGTAAAAATATATTTATGTTTGTTTATTATGGATTTCGCGCAAAGCTACACGAGGGTTATCTGCGCTAGCCGTCCCTAATTTAGCAGTGTAAGACTAGAGAGAAGGCAGCTAGTCATCACCACCCACCGCCACCTCTTGGGCTACTCTTTTACCAACGAATAGTGGGATTGACCGTCCCATTATAAAGCCCCCCACGGTATGTTTGGTGTGACGGAGAGTTAACCCGCGACCCGCAGATCGCGAGTCGAGCGCCCTAACCACCTGGCCATGCAGTTATGTAATCAGAGCAATCAATTCGAAGATATTAGTAAATGTTCAAGATAGGTTGTAGGTTAAATCCATCAATGTTGTTTACACGTCGTGTGCTTGAAGCTCAATACAAGGATTCTAATATCGTTCAGGGCTGGCCAAAAGTATTACACTAGTGAAGCTAACAAAATTGTACCGGCAATAGAACTTCGAACAGGTGACCGAAATGCTTACCGCCACAATTAATGTATTTCTGTATCTCCTCTGTGAGTCGACTCGACGTCGGAACCGATATTATCAGATTATCGAACAATGTAAAACACGTGTTGTTTTGTTACTTTGTTACCATTTCTTATCCTTAATATCTTCTTTGTAATGTCATAATATTTTATAAATTGTACTTTTGTACTAGTTCCTAGGAACATTTTTGGTGTTGATAAAAATAATGTGGTTTAAACTTTGGAGCTTTTAACGAAATAATTTTCAGCATTGGAGGTGTTTTATACTAATATTTTGTTCTTTCGAACTTCCCATTCATCAAAAATCCCTTCTCCGTATTGCTTTTAATCGTAAAAGTAAAAGGGAATTCAAAGTGAATAACAGAATTCTATAACCATTACCATAGACAGACATATAAATCAACCAAAGTAACTTCACATTAATTTCTCTACTAATGTAAGACTTACAATGCGATAATTTGTTCTGTCAATATTGGATTTGGAGTCCTGACGTTGCAATGACGTATGGACGATATCATCCCTGTTGACTTCAAAGCTAAAATGTAATAAACAAATCATGTAACCTTTGTTTTAGAAGATAAACAAATCAGGGCAGGCGCTAATAAATTAGATTTAAGCTAAGAACTTATGACAATGCGATACTAGTTACCGAATGAGGACAATGAGTTACAAGTTATCGTATGATGACAATTAGATGCTAGTTATCGTATGAAGACAATGAGTTACAATTTATCGTATGATGACAATGAGATACTAGTTATCGTATGACGACAATTAGCAACTAACTGTCATAATACGATAACTAGCAACTAACTGTCATCATACGATAACTTGTAACTCATTCTCGTCATACGATAACTAGTATCTCTTTGTCATCATACGATAACTTTTAACTCATTGTCGTCATACGATAACTAGTATCTCATTGTCCTCATACGATAAGTAGCATCTCATTGTCATCATACGATAACTTGTAACTCATTGTCCTCATACGATAAGTAGCATCTCATTGTCATCATACGATAACTTGTAACTCATTGTCTTCATACGATAACTAGTATATCTTTGTCATCATACGATAACTTGTAACTCATTGTCGTCATACGATAACTAGTATCTCATTGTCCTCATACGATAAGTAGCATCTCATTGTCATCATACGATAACTTGTAACTTTTACCATATGATGACAGTTAGTTGCTAGTTATCGTATTATGACAGTTAGTTGCTAGTTATCGTATGATGACAGTTAGTTGCTAGTTATCGTATTATGACAGTTAGTTGCTAGTTATCATATGATGACAGTTAGTTGCTAGTTATCGTATTATGACAGTTAGTTGCTAGTTATCGTATGATGACAGTTAGTTGCTAGTTATCATATGATGACAGTTAGTTGCTAGTTATCGTATTATGACAGTTAGTTGCTAGTTATCGTATTATGACAGTTAGTTGCTAGTTATCGTATGATGACAGTTAGTTGCTAGTTACCATATCTAATGATCTTGTCTACATCTTCATTGGAACAAGTCGACGGAACACACAATCCGTGACGCAATGCTGATTGGGGTGAAATACTTGCCTGTTGAACGAGATTCTCCACAACCTACAGTTTAAAGAAATAAATAAACGACATTACCGATTAACATATTGTTTAATTGTTCTTTCAATGTAAATAAAAACTAGCCAATAAAAGGCAGTCTTTGCGAGTAGGTTTAAGTGACGTGTTTCAATCCGCAAGTAACAGCTAGGTTAGAAGAATATCTATAACAGTTACGGCGCTCGACTCGCAATCTGAGGGTCGTGGGTTCGAATCCCCGTCCCACTAAACATGCTCGCCCTTTCAGCCGTGGGGGCGTTATACTGTGTACGGTCAATCCCACTATTCG